CAGAGGTTTGCAGATTGAAGGAAATAACTGTTGGTCAGTCTCCACCAGGAACACCAAGATCCTTCACAGCTTTCACCTGCTGCTCAGATGAGCCTGCTGCCTGGCCCAGCAGTGTGTTCATAAGAGATTTTATGGCATTCTGTGCACCATTTATTTCCTCACTAGATATGCTCAGAGCTTCACTGTAACTCCCTAAGATGCTGCCACACAGCCAAATATAATTCAGTGCCTGAAGAATGTTGATGGCTTGTCAAAAACAAGGGAAGGTGGACTCTGTGAATTGCCAGAGGGAGAGCTCCTGGCTGCTGAGATACGTCTTGCTGAGGGGAACTTTGTCACAAACTTCATCCATTTTTCCTGAGAAATGCTCAGGTTGCACTTTCTGTGGGATATCACTCTGGGATGTTGCTGGCTGTTGATGCCTGGTCCATCACCACCCTGCAGCAACCATGGTTCATCCATCGCTCGAAGCTGAGGATGAAAAGTCGCTGGAGACCACAAATACAGACAACCTGCATGATCAGCCTCTCTGTGTCAGCTTTGGGAGCCTGTTTTTAATCTGCAGGGATAGCACTTGATCTTTGACAGATGTATACTGGAAATAGAAGTATGATTAAGGAGACAGAATGTAGCCAGAGCTCATAAAGGGCTTTATTTACTTTTCATCAGGTCTTATTTCAAGAAGATTCTAATCTTCTCTTAAAATAGATGTATAAAAAGGGAGAAAACCATCCTTCCTTGTCATGAATGAGTGACCTTAAAAGCACCCATTCACAAGTACTATAATTATTAACATTACATTAGCATGGCTATAAGGACTAACAGGGCTACAATATTACTGGCATCACAGGGATGTGGTGGGAAGACTCCTGTGACTGAAGTGCTGGAATGGAAGGATACAAGCTCTTTAGGAAGGACAGACAAGAGAGACCTTAGAGCAGTCTTCCAGTGTCTAAAGGGGTTCCAAAAGAAAAGCATAAAGGGACTTTTTACAAGGCTGTATAGTGACAGGAAAGGGGGGAATGGCTTTGAACTGAAATATATCTAATGTAAATATCAGGAAGAAATTCTTTACTGTGCAGGTGATGAGACAACTGTACAGGTTTCCTAGAGAAGCTCTGGCTGCCCCATCCCTGGAAGTGTTCAAGGGCAGGTTGGATGGGATTTTGAGCGTCCTGATACAATGGAAGGTGTCCCTGCCCATGGCAGGGGGGTGGAACTGGGTGATCCTTAAGGTCCCTTCTAACCTAAACCATTCTGTGATTCCATTGCTACCTTTCACCTTCTGGTGCACTGCTCACCTCTCTCCTGCTGAAATCTAGAGCAAAATTTCTAGGCAAAGCTGATGATCGTGTTTCCTTAAGTGCCCTCTGCTAATCAAAAGTAATTGCCAGGTTAGAAGGGTTTCACTGATCTCCTTTCGCAGTCAGTTGGGGTTCTGTAGGTTCATTCTCATGGGGCTGAAGAAAGCTCACTAAAAATGGAAATATGAGACTTTCTGCAAGGCTTATTTGGATTTGGGGTTTTTTTCCTAAAAACAACTTGTTCTAATTCCAGAGCAAAGAACCTAACTGTTATGCAGAAGGAAGGTAATTTATGTTGGACCTTTGATGTTCAGTGATCAAATCACTGAGATTTGATGATGGGATTATGTACCAAGGGTAATTTCCAAGTTAGAGCAAGAACATGTCAAGTGACGAATTTCCCTTTCTTCCTTCAGCTAACACTTTTGTCATAGAAATTACTTCCAGTATATCTGACTTCACATAGGAACTAGGACTGTTCCACAATTATTTTAGCCAATTACTTAAACCATGTAAGAAGCTTTTAATCATAGTTTACTGAAAAAAACCAAAGAATTGCAAGGTTATTGTATTTGTACATATCTTTGTCTTAACATATGTAGCTTTGAGAAATTTGTTTGTAATTTGCCAATTTTTCTTGAAACCACTGTTGTAGTCATTTTCAAATTTTAAAAAATGGTAGCACTAGGAAAAATAATGGAAGATTAAAAGGGTGTGTTTTCTTACTGCATGTATACCTAGCATTTATTAGCATTATTTTTAGAAGATAATTCGGAATAAAAAGTAATCAAGGCAACTTGCCTTAAAAATACTGAGCTGCGCAGGTTCTTGCTGGGATTAATGTTTCTGGGGCAGCAGAACAAGGCCACTTGCCGAAGACAGTATTTGACATCAGAGTACACCTATGGAGACAATACACTTGGTTTCACAATGTGAAAATCACCCATATTTCACAAGTGAGGCTTATTATATTGTGTTTTTTCTCTTTTTTCATGAAACATAGCATTACTCATTTTTTTAAGAAACTGCTTGCTCAAATGAATTCAAGGGAATTGTTTTTCATTTTTTAAATTTTATTCAGTGCTTGCGGGCCCCAGGCTGCAGGGAATTGTTATTTGGTGCTTTAAACTTGAGCTGTGGAGTTTAGCTGGAATTGATCAAAACTTTCTCCTTGTTTCCTGACTGACCCACACAATGCCATTTTGTTTCCGTTGCCAGCTGCTGGAGCAGCAATTCCTGTAATCAAGATGAGGGTGCTGCTGCTGTGTTTCTGTTGGGGACAGTATCAGATGATTGGGAATTCTCTAAAAACTGAAAATCACTTCCTTTGAACTCCCCAGGTCTTGTGTCTGTGCAGGTTAGGCTGCTTTAAGACTTCTTGATTCAGATGCAAGTTTAAAATGTAAGCGGGGGTCACATCACGTTCCAGTAAAGGTCTGTGTATGTGTGCATGGGTGCCTGGAGAAATCCCTAGCTGTTTCATGGAGCTGCTGTGCAGTTCTGGCAGAAGGCCTGGGCTGAGTGGTCCCCCACTGCCGTGGTCCTCTCCTGCTGAGAAATGCCTGCTGCTCCAGTCTGGCTTTGATTTTTATTTTTTTTCCCCAAAACATAATAGGCAATTTGTTCCCAGCAAAACTGACCCCTTTTCACTGTTTAGAGGTAGTAACTCAGGGGATAGAAACAGCAGAAAGTCAACCATACACAAATTCTCAGACTTCCCTAATTCCTCAGGAGTTCTAGTCCACGAGGAAATGTTGGCAAACCTTTTCTCACATACCTGAGCAAAAATACTCTTGAGCAAAGGTAAGTGCCCATCATCTGTCCAATCATCTATTCTTACATAACACCGTGAGAAGACAGAGTATCAAGCACAGGGATTTACTCTCAGAGCACGGTCACGAGTCTGCAACTGCAGAAACTCCAGAGGTGAATGTGATCCTCTGTCTCAGGAACAGAGGGATACTAAGGACTGAAGTCACAGTAGTGTAACAAGGACTTTCAGTGCCAGGTTTGTTCTCTGAAACTTAGTAACTCGTTTCTGTCTTCTAAAATGGCTTTTGTCCTTCAAAAACTCTGGTTTAAATGACACTATGCTCTTTAACAGGGTAAAACACCTTGTATCTGTCAGAAAGCTTTGAATATTTCTATTTTACCATGGAAAAATCATCTTGACTTCAGTTGATCGTGGTGATCTCTGGATCCCTTTCCCCCCATGGCGTGGGGCGGCCCAGTTCTAGTTCCATTTCCATCTGAGGAACCATTCCGACATCTTGAAGGATAGGGAACGGGAACTCCAGAGCCAGAGGTTTCTTCAGGCCCTGAGCCTGGAGGGGAGAGGTGCCCTCCCCTCCTTCCACCCACATGGTTCCATGGCCGGCACAGAGACAGCACACCGGCGTGGAGCGGAGGCAAGAGGGAGTTTATTGTTGGGGGGGTTACATTTATAGGGTTAGGAGGATTCACAGAGTAACCCATTACAGGTTGCAGGAAGGGGTTAACAACCAATAGGAAGGGGTTAAAGTGGGCCAATGAGAACACCTCAGGATATCTTCTCAGGACATTCTTGCATGGGATAACACTTGTCGTGGGGGGTGTTGGGAAGAAGAAGCATGTGTTTGCAAGGAGACCACAAAAAGCCATTTTGAAACATGTTTAAACAACAGTTTTCTCATATAATGCAGGTTTTGTGCCACAGTGATCTGTGCTAGTGTTTCCGCACGTTTATATGTTTGGGAAACCGTTTTGTGAGGCATAATATAGTTTAACACTATCAAGATTTTCTGCAAGTATGTTTCTTATTGACATGGGGTTTAAGCCTTTACTGTGAAGTTGTTTCGTGTTTACTGTCATGGGCTGCTTTGATAGCCCTGTGTTCTTTAAGAGCACGCACTCAATAGAATTGAAGAACAAATAAAAGTAAGTGTCACGCATCAGGTATTCTCATAAACCCACCCAAAACTTGTTCTGCCTGCTAACCAAACAAAAGAGTGTTCCAATTGCTTCCTCTTCATGCACTAGATTTTTCTGTGGGCTTACTGTCTTATTCTACCCTCTCACAGACATAGATTAGCAAAGTTTATTCCAAGTGATATGGATCAGCAAAGTAGAGAAGTGGCTTGTCCACATTTGAACCCCTTGAAAAAGTGCTGTATGTGGTAGAATGGTGTCAGTGTTATGCAGTGGTGTGGAATTAAAGAGGAAGGAAACAGCCATGGGAACAGGGCCTTACAAACTTGTTGTATATAGTCACAGCCTCCAGTCTCATTAATGTTGTTAGACATTGCTGGCCTCCTCTCTAGAGACCAGCTGAGGAAGCTGGGTGTGCACAACAGCAGAACTGAGCTCAAATTGTAGGCTGGCATTGATGCAGCCTCTCTGACTTAACTGGCTATGACTGAGAGCAGCATGAGGTGATTCAGGAGATAGGCTGGGGCCATGCTTTCCATATATAATTGTAGATCTCTCCCTTCAGAAGCTGCTTGTGGGTTATAAACAGAAGAGAGGGAGAAACCTCTCTGTAGGCACAGTTGAGGGATGTGAAAACCAGAGGGGAATGGGATGCAGGCACACAAAGGTTTTCTTTTCTAATCTTTAGACCATCCCTGAAGGCTCTAAATTGCAAACAGGGCCACTTATTGGGTTGGCAGATGATGCATCTACCCTCACTTCCTGGAGGCGGTGCACACCTAAAGCAGTCTCTGTGAAGGTTTTGTCTGAACACATCGTGTTGCCATCTGCAGTAGAGAAAGCTCAGTGGTTCATGGGTGACTCGTTCTTCCCTGTAGGAAGAGAAAATGGAAACCCGTGAGAGAAGGGTGCTGTGGGAAGTGGGAGACACCCACATCACCCACTATGGCAACATGAGATATAGTCCCTACTTGCAAGGCAGGGCTGCCTTGTACTGTTGGTAGATTTGGAACTGAGCTCTGGAACTTAAGTCCCTAAAATCTGTGAGTATGGACATAGGTGTTGGGTTTAATCAGTGATAGATGATTTAAAAAAAAAAAGAAGGCAGTATAGCCCAGTAGTCTGTCAGAGTTGTCTGACCCTATAGCTGGGATAGTGGAATGGCTTGTGAAATAATTCAGTTATGACCTCATATTACAGTGCAGTGGAACTAGTGTTGGGTTAGAGAAAAAACCCAAGAATGCTGAAAAGCAGATCTTTTTATTTAGAAGTGTACAAGTACAGAAGAGAATGTACAAAGGCTGTATGTGAAAATTTGCACCTGCCTGGGTTCTCAGTTTAAGCTTTCCAAGTTAAAGATGCCACGGTGATGGTAAAAGACATGCTGTGTTTTGTATTATCATTTATGGTTGTGGATTTCCTTCCATCTCTAAACTGCAATTAAATGTTCCTATCATCCTGTAAATTAGCCTTTCTCTTTTAAGCATCCCATTTGCAACTCTATGTTCATATAATCCTGTAATTATGTAACTATTTTCATTTCAGCACTGATTCAGCAATGTACTTAAGCATATGAATAATCTCTTTGAACCCAATGGGACTCCTCACATGTTTAAAATTAGGCAGGGTTTAATTACTTCACTAAATCAGCATCTATGCTGGTGTACAGAAATGGGGATAAAGGAGGTGGATTGAATCTACTGTAAACATCGTTATTGAACTGGACATTTCTAAACTCTAATTTTATCTTGCTACTTTTAATGTTTTCAGCTGAATCATATTACTAGAGACACCATACATGAAGTATTTGGATTGAATCACATCTTTTAAAACCATTTTCTCTAGAGGCAAAGCAGTTTTAAGAGGCTTGAGCCCTCCCTTGCCCTGTGTTCTCTCTTGAAGTTGGCTGCCCTTTCAGGCGTGCCATTGCAACTGGTTGGAGATCAGTGCCAGAGAAAGCCTTTTTTTCCATTAGAAGTGGAATGCCGTGCAACATGTTGCAGAGGTATATTTTACATGGTGATAAACTGATAATGGAGATGGAAAGGCTTAGGGCCACCTCAGACCACTAACACTACTGAAGAAAATGTACATCCTGAGAAAGCTCTACTGTGGTCTTCAATCCTAAAATTGCACATTGCCCAGGGCCTGTAACATTAACATTTTTAACCAAAGCTTATCCATGAAGTCTCTAGCATTTACCTTATGATATATGAAATAGGAAACTTGAATCATAGCCACTGAGTTGGAATTACAACTCTTCTATATTCAAACAAAACTGAACTTCAAGAAGTACCCTCGAAGAAAGAGGGAATGTAAAAGAACGAAATGAAACATTGCAGACTGCCTTTTGTAACAGAATATGCAAGTCTGTACCAAGTATCTCCAATTTTTACCATAGGAAATGGAGGCAAACAGGCAAAGTTCTTTGGAATTAAGTACAAATTAATGATTTCTAGAAGGCACAGTGTTATGATAATTTTAAAGGCTTTTTCTCCAGTGTCATAATGTCTCATGCAAGCATAGAAGAGTTTTCAGGAAGCAACGGCCTTGCCCTGAGTCAAAACAGTCTGATATCTTTGGTACTTACACAGGGATTATTTTACAAAACTATCAAGACAATCAAAATTCTCTACAACAGGACAGACATGGACAGAATTCTGTCCCAAAGTCAGCATTTAATCTTAGAACACAAAGCAAACAAAAAGTGCCAAAATATGATTAAGGACTATTTTAGAGACAGAATCCATACAATGGTGTTTAAGGTTCCTGTATGTGGCTTAATAAGCACTAATGGAGATGGAATTACCCAAAGCTGTGAACAATGAGAGGCTGCCCAGACAAATGTTTATAGAACAAGGTGGCAGCCTGCAGGCAGTCTGGATCTCAATTAAACAGCCAGAACACAGTCCTACTAAAAAAAAAAAAAAAAAAAAAAAAAAAAAAAAAGACAAAAGAAGCAGAGGAGGGATATTTGTACTTCTCGACTAGGAGAGCTATTTGGGGATATTCACAGAGAAAATGGGAATGGACCCCTTATGAGGAAAAGAGGATTTAGAAAGGATCAAACAAGAGGGGATTTGATCTATTTATTTCACAGATTAGGTTCTGAAAAAGAGACCAGTCTGTGAAGAAAAGGCCTGATTATTACTTTCTGGTTGAAATTCCGTTTCATACAGGTTTTAGTGGTAGTGAACTGGTGGTGGTAACACTGCTGAGAGCAAAATGACTAATGCCCTGGAAGCCATTACTGGAATAATTTACCATCTTGCACAGCTCCAACCATAACTTTACCAAATGGTTCTTTGCATCAAATCTTTACCTTCTGCCTGAACATACCTTCTAAGCATGTAATATTGATTCACAGATTTGCTTGGATAGAGAATAAATACCCTTCATCCAGTGAAATGTGTGTTTTTGCCTGAATTTCTCTAGCTTCAGCTATCAGACATCATGTGAGTCAGTTAAATAGGTCTTTTTATATCTCATTCCACCAAAAAGCTCACTGAGTTACTACATATTATACAAAAACCTGCTTTACCTTCTGATGTTCTCACAGGAGTCACCTCTGACTCCAGAGCTGGGCTGCTGTGGTCCAGGGAATCCAATTAAGCAGCCCCTGTATAAGAAAAACATAACAATGTTTAGCACTCCAGAATGCAATTTAGTTACCTAAAACCTATTTTATGCGACCTAAAATTGGGTTTGTAAGGCTCCTGTTCCTATTCACCTATGCAGACTAGACATAAATGGTGTTTTACATAAAAAACTGAGTTTTGCAAGTGAGAAGAAAGACCACAGGGTTATTTACTTAATTAATTGTTTATTTGATGTTTGTTTTGATGTCAAGCACTGGGACCACAGTGTCCTCACAAACTGGATGATGCCCCAGTGAATTTCTAGGCTCTTGGCCTCAGTGGAGCAGTGGTATTTACTGGCTTCTCACATGCTGCAGTAGGAAGAGCTGGGTACCATGGAAGGGACCCGAAAATGATACAGCTCCTCAGTCTGTATTTTGTCTGAATATAATCTTAAAGAAAATTAGGATAAGGGTATGACACAAGTTCTGCTTCTTTAGGGCTCTGGAATTTACTTGTCGCTCCACGTCTTCCTCCAGCTAGAATCTTTATTTCCTTGCAAGAATAGATCAAGGATTGTTTTCTCTTTAAAAACATCCCTCAGGAAAAGTTTTTCTGCATTCTGTTGCAAGTTTTGACTGCTGTGTGGAAAGTCCTTGGTGATGTACTCTGGAACATGGGTCCCTCCTCATTTTCTGCGAGATGACTGTATGGGACATACAGGTACTCATATTGTTTACTTTCTCAGATTTGTCACTGCTATGTAAAGGGGTAAGAGTTATGGCTCCTTGTTCCTATGACTCCTTGTTCCTGTCTCCTTTCTCATGGAATTCTTTGGGTTAGAAGGGCCCCCAGGAGGTCTCTGGTCCAACCCTGTGCTCAAAGCAGGACCAGCTCTGGGATCGGGCCAGGTTTCTCAGGGCTTTCTGCTGGCAGGTCTTGAAAATCCCCATGAATGAAGGTTTCTTTTCCTTTATTCCCCCATGAATGACAGCCATTACCCTGGGAATCAGACCATTCTCTTGAAGTAAGTAGACTGAACAGGCCCTGGCAGAATGAGAGCTTTGATATTTTATAGAACAAAGGGTATTAGCAGCATCCGCCTTTCCTACCAGGCCTGCAGCCACTACACATCCAGGTCTGCCAGTGGTTGTCCAGTGCCTTCTGTGAGTGTTTACTGAAGTGTGGGTTTCAGGAGGTGCATTTATTGTTGATTTAATGACAGTAAATAAAACAACTTCTATTGGTATTTACCTGTGTTTTTATTTACGAACACAGGGACATGTCTTCTCTGTAACGTGCTATTCCCTTGTCAGTGGTAGTCTCCAGTTTCAGCTCCTTGACGCTCTCAAAACATCCTTCAAAAATTGTACTGGAGTTACATTGTGAGCAAAAATCTTTATCAAAATTAAAGGACAATAAGTTCATTAATATTGATGAATAATGAATCATAGGATGTTGCCCTTTGATAAACCAGCTATAAACATTAATACAAGTGACCATTTAATGTAAACAGAAGTATGATGTTCTAATTTATTTTCTGTTTCCCTCTGTTTGCTAATTCATCAATGTATTAAATTGCGTAGCTGAAAAAAGGCTTTGCAAATAACAATTTCATTTGTTACACACTTATAAATGTTTAATATTAATAGTTTAGGAATTGAAGAGGGGAGGTCTGGAATGATGCAACCACCTGTGCAACATGATTTTCCCAGCTTGCCCTTATCATCCCATTGCTCAAGATTTGGATCACAGGGTTCATAATAATCTGACTTCTGTGTGCAGGACAGGGATGAAACAGCTGAGAGGAGCCTCCTGCTTGCCATGTGTCCTACCATCTATGTGAGTAACCAGTGTGCTGAAGGAAGAAGACAAATATCTCAGGCCCCCATGTAAGGTAGCAGATGGGTTGAGACATAACAGATTTAAGGACTGTGTGCATCAGAATCTGTTTGTTCTGCTGAATTGCATGCCACGCAAGGTACAGAAATTTTATGCTTGGTGCATATGTCAGATTCTTGCTAGTATTGCTTTGCTTTCTCACTGCTTATTAAGAAATTGTTCACACTTGTGATGAGCATCACACAATGATGAGTCATACAACAGCTTTTTTATGCTACTTCTTTCCAGCATTCACAAAGCTGTTTAGGGTTGCTTTAGGAAAGGGAAGTGAGTCCGAGTAGCTGCTTAGCTCCTATCTCTTCCACTTTTTCTACTTAATTTTCTCATGACTTAAGTTTTCTGATGTTGTGCATAGAATTGTTATGATGCAACTCATGATCAGTAACTCATTATCATATTACTGAAGTGATTCATTATGGGTTATAATTTTTTACGATAGGAGGGTGGTTTCTAGCTGAGTAGCTTCAGTGCAGTTAGACTGCAAGCAACTACCTCTGTTTCTCTGCTCATGGAGTTCATTGGAGTGGAGAAGCTGCCTAATGAGAGCTCATTAAGGATCCTGTGGGTTTGTGAAGCATAAACAAGCAGGTTGTATCATGACCAACTTCCACAAATAATGTTTCCCTATTCATTCAATAAAAATGAATTAATAAGCTTTCTGTACTCCTAAACTCTTTATTCTGTTCATTGTTTCCTTAGGATAGCCTGCTTTTTCCTTTTTTTTAAAAAAAAGAGATCTAATTTTCCCTCATAATTTCTGTTCAATTAACCACTCCATTCATATGACTCAATTGATCTTAATAAAGCTATATCATTAGTGCATGTGATCCAGTGAGTTTTAAAGCAATAGACTCTTTACTTATTTTATCCTACATGCACTTGTTTCTTTAATTTTTTTTCCTTACAAGTCATCTGATGGCAACATTCTTATTTTGTATTATAAATACACGGGTATTTGTCTTCATGGGCTTGAGCTTGGTTTGTTTAGCACGTCCTAATAAACACCCTGATTACCGTGAGGCTCTGATTATAACCAATACTCAGTACATTATCTTCAACCTTCTGAAGTAAGAATTTCCTTAAATTTCACAATGCTATTCAGAAAAAAAGTAAATGTTACTTTTGTGTTTTGTCTTGTTAGCAATCATTGTCTCTGCTCTGTGGCTGGTATAGTTTGCCTCAGAGGATTTATATAGTGGTTAAAAGAATTTTTGAGAAGACAAATTCTTTACTGTGAGGGTGATGAGGCCCTGGCACAGGTTGCCCAGAGAAGCTGTGGCTGCCCCATCCCTGGAAGTGTTCAAGGCTAGTTGGAAGGAGCTCTGGGCAACCTGGTCTAGCATAAGGAATCCCTGTCCCTGCCCATGGAAGTGGATTGGAATGAAATAATCTTTAAGATCCCTTCCAACCCAAATCATTCTATGATTCTGTGATAAATCTGTTTAATCATTAGAGCCTAAAACTGCCTTAACATCTTTTGTAAAAACATACATAGTCCCCATGTTGAGATTCTCTGTGAAAGCTGACAGGTGCTTGCAGCAGGAACACATTTTGTGCTGAAATGCACCATGTGTTTGTCATGACTGCTATAAAAATAACATTGTTATTTTTCTAGAAGTAATTGGTAAAGATTTAATATCCCCACTTTTGTTTTTATAACACTTAGAAATCTACTTAAAAAGTGACAATGGAGTTTTCTGGAAGAAGCTTGAAAGCAAAAGAAAAACAGCCCTGAAACTTCTCTTGTTCTTATTTTGCTGTCACGCTTTTTCAGCACTGTGAGAGATGATAAAGGGAAGTATGGTCTTGGACTGTTGTCACATAAGGAGGAGCTGAAAAAAGCTGCATAAAGAAGCATGACCAGCAGGTCAAGAGAGGTAATTCTCCCCATCTACTACACCTTGTAAGCCCCTGTTTACAGTATTGCAGTTCTGAGGTCCCCAGCACAAGAGAGACATGGACCTGTTTGGAGCAACTCCAGAGGAGGGCCATGAAGAGGATCAGGGGGCTTGAGCACCTCTCCTAGTAAGAAAGGCTGACAGGGTTGGGGTTGTTTAGCCTGGAGAAGGGAAGGCTCTGTGGAGACCTTATAGCACCTTACAGTACCTAAAGGGGGCTTATCAAAATGACAGAGAGATACTTTTTACCAGGCCCCAGCATAAGAGTTTCAAACTGAAAGAGGGTTGCTTCAGATCAGATGGAAGGAATGGATTTTTTACAATGAAGGTGGTAAGAAACTGGAACAGTTGCCCAGAAATGCTGTGGATGCCCCATCACTGAAAGTGTTCAAGGACAGTTTGGATGGGGCTTTGAGAAACCTGATACAGTGGAAGGTGTCTCTGCCCACAGCAGGGGTTTGGAACTAAATGATCTTTAAGGTCCCTTCCAATCAAAACCATTCTATGATTATATGAAGAGTGTAAATGAATGAATTTCACAGTGCCTACAAAAGAAAGGAATGACTCAGTCATTTATATAATGCACTGGTATATGAAATTAGGAAAAATGTGACTTGACTTTTGTTCTTATGTACTTTTTAATTCTCACTAGGAAAAACCTTTGAAAAATTCGATGCTGGCTAACACCTGCAAAATTTACTTTTCTGCTTAACAATTTGTTTTAATGAATTGAAGCCTGCCTTTACAAGTTTGTAGCTGCTGCTTGGGCCTTATACATAACTTTCTATTTACTGTCAGTGCTCCATGGAAGTTCAAAGCTGCTGCTTTGTAGCATAGCCCCAGGGGTTTGGGTTTTCAGACTAGGTATACCATACGTTTTCCATGAAAAGTAATGGAAGATTAGTGTGTCTTGTGTAGAAAACCGTAGCCAGGACATTTATTTCATAGACTTAACTTGGTAAAGCAGTCTAGGCATGTAATCACTTGAGATGTCTCATAGACTAGAGATAAGTGCTGTTACACAGAGATGTGTTGCTAATATTGATGGGCAGATACTAATCGCTTCGTGATTCCTGGTGATGTATCCCTACATATGCACCCAGAGTGCAGGAAGCAGGGAATGATGAATTTTAAAAGATACTTTTGATAATGTCTTTGCTGTTCTATTGAATTATTAAGGGCTACCTTGGCTTGAGTGCTCTGGGTATCTATCATGCAGCCTCCAGGAAGCACTCCAAGTG